CTACAATTTGAATCATTATAGGTGTTGTAGACCTCCTCAAATTCCCTTAAATGCAAGTATGGATTTTCTAAATCTAAGCCATGAAAAGAAGGTAAAAGTTGAATAATGTCTGGCTTAAAATTAAAATTAGCTACATCAAAAGGAAAAACTATGCATGATGGTGTACTTGTTCTTGTGGGATTCATGTGGTCTCTAAGTGTTCTAACACAGTTATTCTCGTTATTCTCATTATTCTCGTTATGAAGTGATTGATTATCTTTTTCGGCCATGTTTTCTGAAAATGATGAGGATACCCTACAAAGTCTACCACTTAATGTACATGACCACGCTCTCATGCACGTGTAGGAATAGAATAAAAGAAAGAAGAAAAAGAAAGGAGGAGAAACAAAACAAAATAAACAAAGTTATATACAAGAAAAGTGAAAAGAGAAAATAAAATAAATACGATAATTTATACAAGAACTTACCTCCCCGGCAACAGCGCCAAAAACTTGACACGACTAAAAGATTAATATCTTCTTCCAAGTGCAGGAGTGTCAAAGTAATAAATAACCCGACAAGACCGGGGTCGAACTACAAGGAGTTTAATTATACAAATTATAAACAATAATTATAAACAACAACAATAGTAACAATAACAATAACAATAATAATAGTAGCAATAATAATACTAGTAGTTGTAGTAGTAGTAGTAGTAGTAGTAGTAGTAGTAGTAGTAGTAAAGAAAAAGAAAAAGAAGAAGAAACGTTTATGAGAATTTTGAGATGGAAGATTAACGTAAGGATTAAACAATGATAACAATAAATATCAAGGTTAGAGGATCCACTAATGGTATGTCCAACAAGTATAGTATAAACTCTTATTATTCAATTGGAAACCACACACAAAGAAGGTTCCAATCAGATTATAAATTGTTAACATGATTACATTAGTCATCTTATTCAGTTAATGCTAATACTTGTAAATCTCGTTAAGCATTCATGATTATAACTTATATTAACAACAAATCAAGTTCATTTCATAGCTCAGGTGTCGGTTATACCATAAAGTATGGGCTATAACAGTGCCAAGCATTTATTGTACCAAGTGTTATACAACATAAATCTAGATTAGTCATTTAACAAGTAAAGTATTAAAGAGTGAACAAGATAACAAATACAAAACATGTTAGCATCAAACATTAAAGTCCATATTGAGTTTACATTATACTTATTCTTACACTATTAGTGTAACCTTTTCACCTTGACATAATAAACTTAGCTAAACATAATAAAAGAAAGAAAAATAAATAAACAAAATAAGAACATAAATAAGATAAAAGTTAACTAAGTAAATGAAAGGAAATGAAAGGCATAAACTTGATATTAATTAAAGCAAAGCATAAACATTACAAAAAAATACAAAGAGAGAAAGCAAGAGCATGATCTTGATCTGGAAACTAAGATGCCTAAATGCATGGTACATGCCTCCTTTTATAGGCCAAAATTGGAAGCTATTGATTTGATGACTAATTGATGAGTGGGTGACCAACTCTTGACTTGGTGACAATCCTTATCTTCTCTTGTCTACCCAAAACATCATTGATAACGTCAAAATTGGAATCACTTGAAACATTAAAGTTGTAGGAAATTGTCTCAGCTTTCTTGTGTAAAAGATTCAGGTCATTTGAACTTCTAGAACTCCAGATATTGGCTAAATACTGAACAGTGCTCGGGCTGGAAGACAGATTCAGACTTTTTTGTTTTTGCTCTAATTTGGACTTGAAAATGGCCTTTTTAGATCTTAGACTCCATATGAAAGTTGTAGGTCTATGTCGTACATTTCCATGCATATAAAATAGACCTAAATTTGAGATCTACAGCTTTAGATATGACCGAATTATCGAACAGTGTTCTAGTTTAGACTACACCGGCATCTCTTTTCTAAGTTTGGTCATCTTTTTATCCTTTCAATTTTAGTTCTTAAATTCATCAATCAATCATTTCATTTATATGATAAGCTGCATTTAAAATGAATATTTATCATAAATTAAAGGTATCTTATATTATTAGATACGTTATTATAAAACATGCTTTAGTTAAGGAGTTATTGATACTTCAAGTGCAAAATTATGATATAAAACCTTAATAAAAATACACTTTTAAGTACTAATCAGTGATACATGAAACAATTATATACAATGCATGAACAATATGTGTAAAAAATTAAAGCGTATGAAGAGACAACAAAAGAAAAGGCATATTAACAATAAACATACGAAAATACAAATAAATCATACTAAAACAAAGCTTAGTCCATAAGGTCCCCAGTGGAGTCATCATTCTGTCGCATGTATGCGACGTCACGGTGAATATTCCACTTCATCAAGAATGTATCTATCTATCTGGGAAATATGGGGGGAACAATAAATTCTTGTCGTTTATCGATGAAAATGGAATGGGAGTTGCCACCTGGTATTTTAGTCACTAGGAATCCTAACTGATCTTAGAGATCGGGTATGAGAACTAATTACATAAAGGGAATGTATTAGCACCCCAAAGACGTCTTACTTAAGATAAGCTACATTGTTTGTTTGTCTGATAAAAAGCTAAAGTATTATTGTATTTCTAGTTATTGGTTTGTCTATGGTTCAAGAAAAGTCCTCCTCAATAAGGAGGTCTTTATTTTATCGATTGAAAACCTAACTGTTCTAACATCTATATGAAAAGATTTTTTTAGAATTTTTAAAATATTGGCCTAGTTCTTATAACTCTAACAAACTTGTTATTAAAGTCAAAGTGCATGCTAAAACCTTTTTTTTAAAAAAAAAAATTCTCTGTTATATGAAAATATGATGTGATGATATATATATATATATATTTGAGAGACTAGGTCATATGCATGAAAATAAAATATTTTTATTTTATTTTATTTTTTTGATGTCTTGATGGAAACCGAGTATTTTAATACTGGATTTATATCTTTACAGTATAAAAATACAAACCAGTATTAAATAATTTTGATAAAAATATGCAGGAAAATTAACAAAAAAAATTTAAGAATTTTTCAGAAATTTTTTTCTTTAATTTTTTTTATATATATAT